GGGCCAACCATGATAACGTTCCAAAATCACAAACCCGGCCGCGCAGAAACATCGGGTTTTTGGCATTTTTGGTTCCGCATATCATCGTAATTTGGACGCCATGTTAAGCCCTGTTAAGAGCCGAAAGTGCCGATCCTACCGTGCTTTTCGCACATTGTTAACAAGCAAACTGGGGCAAACGACGGTGATTTACCCTGTAACTAGAATACCGAAGCAGACGGTAAATACGTGTAAATATGGAACCTTAAACACTATTGACTCAAAAATAGTTTCTCAGTTGCTTGCATATTATCTATCATGATACGACTGAGGAAATAAGAAAACGTTCATCAAACTGGATATCTAAATAAACAGCATCATTCACGAATTTATAACATACCAATCACACGGTGAAAAAAAAAACTTCCGGCTTCTGATGTGTACAAACATTTGACATAAGTGCTCAACGCACGAGTTTAGTAGGGGAATGCCGGTGATGATACAGATGGTGATGACGGTCTTGACAGTTCCTGATGACGATGATGATGATCATACACATAACGATGGCGGTCCTGATCAGAAAATACTGCATTGCGTATGCGTATATGAACCAGGCTCCGATGTGGGACCAACACTTTGGCTATGTGACAAGAATACCTACCAATACCTCAGAAGGAGATTCCTGAAAAAACTGTATTCCAATAGTTTGGAGTAGGGGTAGCATATTATTTGTATGTATATATGTATGTATGCATGCATGTATGTATGTATATGTAATGTATATATGTGTACACGTATATGTGTGTGTGTTTACTTGTTTTTACATATATATATATATATATGTATATATAGTGCATACATATATATATATATATATATATATGTATATATATATATATATGCATACACAAAGAAGTGCAAGTATATTTGCAGGGAGGGTTCTGAGCTTCTTGGTTTGATTGGGCTTTGGGGTGGTTCTCAGAAGGTGGCCCCCGAGAGCCCCGATGCACCGCAGCCTTGCGAATGACCTCAGGCTCGCCATAGAACCAGTGGTTCCCGTGCTTGTGCTCGTTGCGAAGAAGATTCAGCTCATGGTTCCCCAGAATACACTGGGCCTGCAACTGTCACTCCGTTCCTCCGCCCCTCCTGCCTCTAGGTTTTCATTGCAGAGAACACACAAACACACACGCACACACACACACACACAGTGCACGCACACGCCCGCACACAAACGCACCGCAAGGGATGGGCTGCGCATCCCCGAACATGGTGCTGTCAGCATACGCAACTTCCTCAGAGAACTGAGGGCAACGGTTTGCACCTATGCGGAGCGTAGTGCCTTCCCCTTCTCCACCAGATGCCTCACCAATCGAATGACTCCTGGAGAGTCAGGTCCACGATCCACCAGGTCCTGGCTCCAGAATTCAGGGAGTTTAAAGTTTGGAACCTCGAAACCTGATCGCTCCCCAGGCCTCTGAAAAACGAATGCGGAATATTTTCCAGGGACCTCTATGTCTTTGGGAGGTCACAGCGTGGATAATTTCTCCATATTTCTCTGCTCGACACCCTTGAAGATGACGGCGACGTCACGAACGACAACGACGAACCCTTGCATGCCAAGCATCGCCAAGGAACACCTCGGCCGTCGCGTGTTTATGTCAATTGATTATATATCTATCTATCTATCTATCTATCTATCTACCCATCTATCCGCTTGTCTGTCTGTCGATCGGTCGGTCTGTCGATCGGTCGATCTATCGATCTGTCGATCTGTCTATGTATCTATCTATCTATCTGTCTAACTACCTATCTATCTATCGATCGATCTATGGATCTATCGATCTATCGATCTAGCGATCTACCTAACTATCTATCTATCTACCTATTTATCTACTATATATCTATCGACCTATCTACCTACCTACCTATCTATCTACCTGTCTATCTGTCTATCAATCAATCTATCTATCTATCTATCAATCAATCTATCTACTATCCATCTATATATCCATCTATCTATCTATCGATCTATCTATCTACCTACCTACCTATCTATCTATCTGTCGATCGATCGATCTGTCTATCTATCTACCTACCTATATCTCTCTATCTACCTATCCATCCATTCATCCATCCATCCATCCATCTATCTATCTAGCCGTCTCTATCTATCGATCTGTCTATCTATCTACCTATCTATCTTTCTATCTAACTATCTACCTATCTACCTACCTACCTATCTATCTATTTAGCCCTATCTATCTACCTGTCTACCTATCTACCTACCTATCTGTTTATCCCTATCTATCTACCTGTCTACCTATCTACCTATCTCCTATCCACCTGCCTAGCTACCCACCTACCTACCTACCTACCTACCTACCTACCTACCTACCTACCTACCTATCTGTCAAGCTATCTACCTATCTATCTATCTACCTATCTATCTATCTATCTATCTATCTATCTATCTATCTATCTATCTGCGTGTGTGTGTGTCTCTTATCTTAGCAAATGTAGTTACAAGTGTATATATATATATACATGTGACAATATATATATATATATACATACATATATATATATATATATATACGAATGTACGTGTCTATACATAAAATATGTATAGAGAGAGAGAGAGCGAGACACGTAGATAGCTAGACAGACAGACGGACAGACGGACGGACAGATAGATATATGACATATGTATGTATGATAATGCACGCAAGGGCCCCCCAAAGTTGCTCATTGAATGTGTTGCTTTCTACGCGCCTCTGGACCGAAGAAAGTGCTTGGAACGGTTTATCCGATCAGGCACAAGCCGTCGACCCTCCGAGTGCTCTCCGTTGCCATCGTAGCCCAAATGATCCAGCAGCGACGTCAAAGCGCCACACTCCTGGGCTCGCTTCTCCCACATTGACATCTATTCTTGCAGGCGACCGGGCAACTCTTGGTCGAGTTGCGCCATGAATGTCTGCAACGATGTCAATCGGCCCGTCAAACAACCGGCCGACCAGCGCAACAGCCATAGCCAAAGGCAGACTACATGTGGCAGGATCCATGCGCACAGTCTGCATATCTACGACAACAGACTGAAATAGTATGCTTCACTGCAAATCTGGCATGAAAAGTGTTGCACCCCTCGCCCTTCACAATCCACACAGTCCTGTCATGCTGCAGGCGTGAATTAACTGATTTCGGCTCGAGCACGAAAAACAAGCAAAGATGCTGGAGGGCTCAAGTGCCTGGTTGTTGCAGTCGTCACATTCCTCGTCTCCGACCCGCAAACCGTCCATGCCGGCTGCACGGCACCTTACCATATACGCGAAGACCGCTGACAGTGGCGTGACTTGCGACAGAATAGACTGATACCAGAAGGCAGGATTTCGCGATCTTGAAGCTCCGTCGTCTTTAAGCCCACTGCTTTGATGTCCCCAGCCCCCAGCCATCAGCAAAGTCTCCAGGTGATGCTGCCTCCGCTGCAGCTCCGAGAAGAATCCCACAACTCGAAAGCTAATCTGAGCTCATTGCCCACATGTTTAATTCAATTGGCTGGAATGTCCTAGCCGTTCTGAAACACTGAGCTTTGTTTATGTCTTATTCGTCCAAGGGTTTCTGTACCCAGTGACCAGGCCGTTCTAGCAGATTGGCCCCGCAGACCCGCACATGCGTTGAACAGGCTTAAGCCTCGAATACCCAGCAGAAAAAATCCACAAACGTGGTAAGGACTTTTTCCGGAACGGCCTCGCAAGTCCAGCCAAGTTCCACCTGGATGCAGCTTCAAGTCAGAGCAATAATATGAAAACAGCAGCTTCACTGGAGCATCAAAGATAAATGGTGATGGTGATGGTGATGGTGATGGTGATGGTGATGGTGATGGTGACAGTGACGGGTGACGTGGATGGTGATGGTGGCGACGACGGTGGCGACAACAGTGACGAGAGTGTATGCCATGACTACTCAACCGACCAGAATGAGCAGCAAGCCGCAAATATGCAGCTGTCGAGACGCACAAGAAGAGCAGGCTAGAAAGTACAAACGAAGCATGGGATCTTGAAGCGAAACGACTGTGCTGTGGCCTTGGCAATCATGTGTAGTGAGCTGGGACTCTCTGAAAAGTCACGGGTTCGTGCAAGAGAGATAAGGGGCCCACCTGACAGCTGCTGCTGCAGCCGTCGCCATTCACAGTGTTGCCATCGTCGCAAGCCTCGCGTAAGCCACTGGACGGGGAAGGTCCTGAGAAGCACCCTCCGGCTCAACTCCTGCCGATAGTTTTCTATGGCCAGTAGTCTTTTAGAGCCGGGGTTTTAGATGGAACTCTGACACCGACCTCGCCGTCATGAGCTGCGCCATCCGGGCACGCTGACCTTGAGAGCAGTGCTCGCACTCTCTCCGAAGCCTTTGCACGCGACTCGGAAGCTCAGATACGATTTCAAGCACCACCAATCAAAGGCTCCATGAGTCACGAAGCCAAGGCGTGGCAATCCAGAGTCAATGTGGACAAAACGCGGCGGTGCCCACCAGATATCTTTACAACAAAACCTAAAACCTAAATCCTGAGACCTAAATCCCAAAGCCTTAAACCCAAAATCATCACAACATCCTAAACCCTGAAACCTACGGCCTGAAATTTCTGAACTCTGGTCAGCCCCACAAGCGGGCCAAGTCACGACGCTGCCACGTGGGAGTTCCAGAAAACTGGAGTATGTCATGTCGAAACTTCCACACGGGAACAGAATACCGATGACCGGCACTTTGGCCGGGAGTCCGGAATCCCAAACTTGGGAAGAGCAGTGTGAGAAAACAGAGTCGTCAGATGCTTCTTGTATTGCAGCGCGACTCTCTGCATGCGAAACATGTGCTATATGCCACCGGAACTCTTGCTGTGCAGTTGCTGTGCAATCGGAAGATGCTGGGAAGTGTGTAAAGGCACCGTCATCACAGATTTGCTAACATCTCGTGCTTGGTTGATAAGAGCTGTATTTTCGTCAGATCTCCTGGGTACTACCACTTCTGGCGGAGTGTCCTCGGGGCCCTGTCTTGGCCACCGGGCAGAACCCGAAGCAGGGTCCAGTCCGACCACGGGGATGAACCGATGGGATTCCGAGCCTGAGCCGGCAAAGAATGCCAAGGAAGATGTTTTGCTGTGTGGCAAAGGGCATCAAGCGGTGTGCGTACACCACTTCAGCAGGCAATGAACAGCCATGTGCACAATCATCTTTTTCTCCAAACAGAATCTACGAAGTACATTGCAGTAGAGTATCTCCGATCATCCTTCATTACCGGGGCATGTTCCAATGGTATGTTGCAGACCGGACGGGACTCCGCCGAAAGCGAGGATTCTTGAACTCCGTTGTCTTCGAGACTCACAGTGACTAAGCTTGAGAAGGTCGAGCATCCCAAACCATGCATGTGTTCCACAAGAACTACAAAAAGCCGGCATACACATTACGTACATATACTCTTTAGATTAGAAAAACGAGCATGCATGAGGAAGGAGATGAGGTCGTTACTCCTACCTTGTGATGATGTGGCTTGGAATCCAGCTCGTACACGGACCAAGTAGTGCTGCGAGCTCAAGACGCCCAGAAAGACAGTGCTGCTGGACTCCTGCCCGAGCACCACCTGGTCCTGCCCGAATCGCGGCTTGAAGGATCAACGAAAGAGTACGTCAAAAACCTGGACCTGGCACTACCTGATCTGGCTTACGGCTCCATTTTGAAACGGTAATGGGGTCCCTAATTTTCCGGAACTCCAATTTGGGCTTCCTTGATGCTTGCCGTTGCCCTCGAGGCAGCATCTGCAGCTGCTTCTGAATCTGTGCCTCAGGCTGTTGCAAAACAACACAATCGTCGAACTTCTTCTCCGGGTTGCGGATCAACAGCACTGCAAAAATAAAAACTTAGATATCTGACTGTCAGTTGTGTCGGTTGTGAGAGCGTGCCTCTAAACATGGGGTGTGGGGTTGCTCGTTGCTAGTCCTGAACGAGCGAGTGGTCCTACAAAACAAGTGAACTCCCCCAAGATAGTCCCGACAAATATCCCCCACCCCCCCCCCCCACACCCTGCGTGTGCAATACCATTTGTACTACCAACTTCTGCATGTTTCTCTTCTTCTACTACTACTACTACTA